TGTGTGTGTGTGTGTGTGTGTGTGTCTTTGCTAATTTTGTCATTTCATTTTTCATTTTTGCCTCTTTTTTTCGCTTTGGTTTTCGTCTCTCTGTTCTTTGTGGTGTATGTCTGGTGTGTTATTACTTCTCTCTTCAATATGTGACGTGTGTACTTTTGGATATCGTTTCGATATCCCAAAACTCCTAAAATATTGAACTGATTGCCTTTCCCATGAAGCCTTAATGCAGTTTCTCATTTCGTGCCTCAGACGGTCCAAGTCGCCCGCGGCCACGCGAGATATTTCATCACACCAGCAATCGTCTTTCATTCAACTTCCGGTTTCCGAGAAATTAAGCCACTGCGCTCGGGCCTAAATTTCCAAGAAACTATGCGAACGAGGAACTGAAGAAAAGACAGCTCTCGACAGCGCAGTAAATTTTGAAATGGCTGACAATTCAGCGAACACTGCAACCCAGTAAGTAGGTTTAATTTTTGTCTCAATGTAGTTTGTGTTGTTGAATTCAGGGGCCTGTTTCTCGAAAGCCCCGGAAAGTTTTCGGCTCCGAAAAGCCATTTTTAGTTGATCGGTACGGTATTTAAAGAGAGTTCTTGTACGGAATGGAACCTCTGTTTATACTCAAAATGTGTGAAAAGAACAGCTCTGTAATCATAAGTTAAGGTTTGAGATTTTGCTCCGGCTCTCCGGGTGCGAAACCTTTTCGGGACCTTCGAGAAACGGGTCCCGCTGCGAGTGAATAATAGAAAATAAGTCATCCATTATATTGCCTTTCGTTTGTAAAATCAAATTTCCTGTCATCTCTAGTCAATTGATTCCATCCTTAAAACTACCAAACAAGCTTAAACCTTGATCGAGGAACGCTTTGGCGCAAAACTATCGACCATCTGTGCAATTTGTAGAGCTGAAAATTGTGAGCACATCGCGAAGCGCGAAGAAATACATGTATAATTGTCTTGAATATTTAATTTAGCTGACTATTTGTTGGGTCAAAATATTGTGGTTGTTAATTTCAAAATTTCATGTTGTCGGGGGGGAAATATCACCTTTCCATATGCCTGACTAGCCGTTCTGAATACTTGTATTTGGTGCATAACAGATTCGAATTTGGCTTCTTTGTCTGCGACGTAAGGATGTACAATGTAGACCTGTTGGTGTAATGTAATGTGATTATTCACGCGAAATGTGCGTGACCAGTCTGAGAGTTAGTATATATGGGTTATTGACCAAGCATGAGGTCAGTATGGTTCGATATTGGACAAGTTCTAATTTTTTTTTGCCTGTTTAAGGACCAAGATAGTCAAGGACCATAAACAAGCAAAAATAAATAAATGAGTAAATAATAATAAAAAATAACAAAGCCATATATCTAGTGATCATGATGGAACAAGCTTGCAGGTCAATAAAGGATTTATTTTGTGGTTTCGGTTGCAAAATAAATTCATGAAACTCGTCAACATTTTGTTTTCTTTGTTTAATTTTGTTAACACTTCCACTTTTCTCATTTTCCAACTCAATCATTTAATATACAAAGACGATAGGGAATCTTTAAGCTGTCACAAAAATATTTTTGCAATGTATTAAAATTATGAGAGAAAACTTTAGTGAACCTGCTTGAACTAGCTTCACGAAAATTTTCCTTGTGGGACACATAGCGCAATCCCTAGCCGACAAGATAGCACCATCTTGCCTGCTTGGGTAGCCAATCACAGTGTAGTATTTGATTCATCTTAACTGCTCATGGTTAATAATATTTTTTTTTCTTTCCTTTTTTTTAGCCTCCAGTGTGACAAACGTTTTTGTCTTCTCCTTTGTTTTGGAATGAGTCAATAATTAAATTGATATTATTTTAATTTTCTATCTATGCAATTGATATTTTTTATTCATTATATCATCTAAAGGTGCCGTGGAATAAATGACCAGTTGTTTGATCTAGGATGCCTTGCTCCCGCTGTAAGTTTAAAAGAACAAAGAAAAACTTAGAGTACTGAAAGTTCCAAAAAATATTACTATCAGTAATTAAGGTGTCTGTTGAATTTTTCTTTCTTTTCATTAATTCCCTCTCTCTACTATCCCATCCTTTCCTCTAATGCCTCATCCCTCCAGCCCCCGGAAATGTGTTCCCGGAAAGGCATAAACGACTGCACAATTACAAGTGAACCAGTCAGTCTAGTCTCACTTTTGAATATCACTGGTACAGACATTGATGAAGCAAATGAAGGCCAGTTGTATCTCTGATTGACACCTATTTAAACATTGACATGAGAACTAATATGGAGTATCTCCTGTTTTTCGTCATTTGATTTTTCATACATGAATGTCATTAATATGAAATAACCGCTGTTGCAATTTATTACCTCAATATGGTAAATGGACATGATAAATGAACCAGTCTCTCAAATAAACATCATTTAAATAATAAATTTGATCTATCTTTAAATGGCATTCACTCCCCCCCCCCTACCCCTCCAACAAAAAGAGAAATTATATTTAAATCCTGGCTGTCAATCTGTCAATCAGGTCTTTTCTTGCAGTATAAATTGGATAATATAATACAAGGCATCCTAATGCTGTACATCATGTTCGAAAGCACAAGTTAGTGCTTAAAATGGCTGCAAGAAAAAGGAGGCACTGCTTCCAGTTGTTTTCATTTTCTATTTTTTATTGTTATTTTTTCTGAGCTTTAAGTCTCATAGTTGTCCTATCCAAAGAAATTTTGCGACTCAGTGGTTGGAATATTTAAAAATTATTGCTTTTTACGTGTGGAATATTCTAAGTACATGTTAAATGCTATGTTGCACTGAGTAACATCCAAATAACTGAAGCAATAATATGAATGTGATGTTTATAGTTAAGTTTACTTTTATTTTGGTTTGTAGCTTCTCATCATTTTGATACTGGCATCTCTAAGGCGCCAAGTGAATTTCAAACATGAACACTGCAATGGATACCCTGGTTTATTAATGTAGGTGTTTGTAGGACTGTTACATATTAGCTAACAACTTCATCATAATCATGCAATGATAAAATAATTGATAGCCCGATTGATCATGGGCAGTTTTTCTTAGGGTAGAGATGGTGGTGGTTGGTGGTTGTTTGCAGGTTGAGGGCTCTTAGAAATCCTTTTGTTTTTCAAGCCACGATCAGGTGCAGGGTAATTTTATGGCATCACAGAAAGGAATGGGAATCCTTAGAGGAACTCCTGTATTTAAAATATGACAGGGGTGCTCGGACGTACCTTTTAGGGGTTTAAAAAGCAGGTTTGGTACCTTTTAGAGTGTTTAGCCTCAAAAGTTCCACAGTGGGACAGGAATACAGTGAAACCTCTGTTACGTGGACACCCTCAGGACCTTCCCAAGCGTCCGCTTAATAGAGGGTGTCTCCTTAATAAAGGTTTATAACAATTGCGCAATGTTTGTTAACAATTAACATTCAACGGTTCCTCTGTACAGTAATAAAAATCCATGTTGTTAACGAAGCTATCCAGAGTTCAAGTTCATCAGCTTTCATTACCAACTTTAATTTGTTTGTAGTAATGCCCTTTCCATACAGCAATGATGACACAGGCCTGTACATTTAATCAACTATTTCATGGATGTAATCCAATGCCTCATTGTTAATTCAGTCTGGTGTCCGCTTAATAGAGGTTTTTAACAATAGAAATTAACCAAATACAATTTATGTTTTAGTGTCCCCGTCCGTTTAACAGAGGTGTCCGCCGAATAGGGATTCGTTATAAGGGAAATATAACACATTAATTTTGGGACCAGGCTAAGTGTCCATAATAGAGGGTGTCCGCTTAATTGGGGTCCATTTAATGGAGGTTTTACTGTATGTAAGAATTAGGACATAGGGGAGAAAAAAATTTCAATCCACGCCCACAAAACAGGATCTTGGTACCTCTTAGGGGTTCTTTTCAAAATTTCTGACGAGCACCCTCGTCCTGTTTATAATTTTTTCTTTTTTTTTTTAATGGTCCCCTCCCCCCAGATGGGAATCTGCCTGTTGCCAACTTCTTCTGAGAACTCTACGGGTTACAGGGGCATGTTGGTGAATGATCAGCCATTTCTTTCTTGAAAAAAAGGATTGAGAAGTTGATCAAAGTTAGATCTGGGTGTTACACAGTAATTAATGTTATAAATCCACCACAGTTTCTTCTCCTATTTTTATGCATTAATCTGGTAATTGATATGCTTCCCAAATGTATGTGCTCTGGCACACACATGGCCACAGCCAGAAGAAATGCTTCTTTTATATTGAGTAATTGTTGTTATGCATGTAGCCTCGTCTTACTGGAACTTGAAGTAAATAAATAAATTCCAAACTTTTTGTTGAGTTTTTATTGTTATTTAGTTCACCTATTTCTACCTACAGCCTTGACACCTTCATGTTTTAAATTTAAGCCAAAAATCAACGATGAAAGTTAATATATTTTGCAAGAGCCCTTATGTTATTTAGAACATTCATGTACACACACTGAGTGAGTAAACTTAACCCAGCTAATTCATAGGTTGATAATACAGACTTAATTAAACATTGGACCACATCTGAAAATGTCAAAGTGTATTCATATATATATAAACAAAATGACTGACAGTTATAGTGATGTTTTTTCTATTTATTTTAATTAGTAATATTCTGTGTTGAGTGTTTGTAGCTTCTTCTTTTCAGACCAATCAACTTCTTAGGTGGTTTTAGTAACAGATATACCATTGCCGCTACATTCGGTGCCACAGCCAGTACATGCCTTACACTGTTTCTATCAGGGAATGGTTTCTTTTCCTTACCTGGTCCTGCTTGGGTGAAGGGTGAGTGATGCAGTATATGATATATCTATATATTTTACAGTGAATTATAGAAAACTATCAGTATATAAGCCCAGTGTTCATCAGATATTTTTTTATCATTAAATTTTTGAAGCTTGGCACTGGCTAATACCAGCTAATGGCTAATACACGTGTGACAAAAGCCAATTTTACATCAAAATTACACATAAATGAACAGAGATAGACATGAATAAGAAATTCTCAAGTTAGTGAAATTGTAACATCATTTCTATCTTTAAAAGGAAACTAATTTTCACAAAAGAAAGCGACTGCCGATGCTGAACTTATTATTATTAGCATTATTATTATTAGTGTTGTTATTGTTATTATCATTATTACTACTATTATCTTCATTAACTAATTAGAACTGTGAAACATGCGGGTTTTTTTTTTTGGGGGGGGGGGGTAATAATTACTTAGAAATGATAGATGATCGAACGCCGCCGTACGTAACTAAAAGAACAAACGTTAAATACCTTTAAACGGACGATACTTACCTTCAAAATGGTCTAAACCAAATCAGAGTTGATGAATTCGAACTCTCAAGTAACAAATTATTTGAGAGATTGAACCGAATAGCGCGCCTTTTGTCTTCCTCGACCACCCCTCTCTCAGTTAGAGAATTGTCATAGTGTTTAGCTTGATTAGCATGCATTAATTTTCTGGTTACAACGTCATAACAACTCCACTAGTACTGTGTTACAACGGGGAACGGGTGCGCTCCTCCTGCGCTCCGTCCTGCGCTCCCAGCATTGTTACCAGACCTCACGTTTTCCAACCCCTGGTCAAGGGAAACGAAGACTCTGGGAACGAGATTGCGGTATCTCGATAACGACAAATGCAGTTTTCGGATATACCTGTAATATATAGCTTTAGGGCAGCCTAAAAGCGTAGCTTCTGGACCGGGTTGTTCAGAGCCAAATTAAGCTAACCCAGGAAAAGGTAGAATTTTGACTTGAGTTCTGTAACTTTGCGTTGAGGTTTTCTGTATATTGTTTGGCCTTCTGTTTTGAGTTTTAAGTATCACTATATACACAAAACAAAGCAGGAAAAAAAATTTGTATAGAAGAAAAAGTTATAATTCGGCTAATTTTTAATTCTGGGTTAGCTTTAACCGGCTTCTGAAATATCCTGCCCTGTTTTCAACAAGTTAAACTGAGATGAGCCCGCGATCCAATTAAAAACCAGCACTTGGTCAACGGTCAGCTTCCAAAACCACGCCGTGAACTTGAGCCCGCGATATGGTCACGTGATAATGGCCAGCGGATACCTTGTTTTGACAGGTATCAATTGATCATAACATGGATGCCCAATATCAAAGAAGTACACCGTAAACCAAGGCTGCATGTCTCTTTCAACCTATTATTTGGAGACAAACAATAGACTGCAAGGCTGATACTACGTAACGGGTCATTTTGCAATTTATGTGCGTTGGCTGTTGGGCTGGCGTTACATATCTTCGCTACACAGTGCTGACGAGCCCCAAGAAGAGTGAAACAGCTGTCCACTGTTGCGATCCTACTTTATCGGTTCTTGTCATGTTGGTGTCTCGAAACGTTTACACGTAGTATCAGCCTTGTAGTCTATTGTATGTCTTCATACATTTTGTTGGCCTATCAGATCTCATGTGGATTCTACGTTGGCAGCCTTTATCGTATGCGGTCCCTTGCAGTTTCTGGTTTCTCATTTATTATTTGGAGTATGGCCGCCACGTTGCGCGACTCCGTCGTCGTCGTCGTCGTCGTCGTCGTCGCCGCCGCCGCCGTCGTACGTACGCGCCCACGAGCAATACCGCTAGCCATGATAACCATGAGTTAATCAACTCACGGGTTTCCTTTTCTTTCCTATATGAGTATGGGGCTCCGCTTAACGGCCCTTCGGGCCGCCGGAGCTCCGTTATCATTTGATCTCATTTGTCCCTTGGCTTCGAGTTCCTCTTCATCTTTTTCGGGGGAATCAGTCGACATTTTTGCCACAAGACTAATTATTTCAGTGCTTGCTTGTGGGGACGAGGTTTCTTTATATTCATTATTAGGCTGGTTTAGCAAGAGAACGGGAACGTCAGTTGACGACGGCGCGCGCAATACAAATACCCATATATGGTCAGATCAGAACAGAATCCAGGTTATTCTGGGCGCCCTGCAGTCGTCATCTGACGTTCCCGTCCTGTTGCTAAATCAGCCTATATTTCACTGCCGGACGGACGAGTGGAAAGTAAGATTATACTAGGTAAGCGAAATTTAGCTCGCTTGATTTGCAAACGCTTTGTTTATGAACAGCGAGTCCTCTGTGTGATACTGAGGGTTAGCGTTAAGGTCAAGGACTGTGGCGAATAAAAATTACATAGACAATAACAGGGCTAAAGGGCGTATTTTCGAAATGTCACGGTTCTGAAATATACCAATATAACACGCCACATAAGTCACATGGACCCTTCATCTGAAACAAAAGAAATACAATTAATTTTGTGGATCGATTTGAGCTTATAGCTTGCTGATTGATAGTTGCCAGAGGGATAGGTGCTTAGATACAATTTATAGTGTTTAATACGTTATAGTCCAAACATGTCTACGAAAATACCCGCTATTGTTTGGATTCCTTGTATGATCGAAACACAATTGTGCAAATCTACTACCATTCTATCACGAATGCTGTTCTCTGATTGGCTACGCTACTTACTATCTATTCTGTGATAGATAGTGAGTAGCGTAGCAGTGTACCCTTGTTAAGAAAATGACGACCGCTCCTTAGCGTTTTCGAAGTGTCTGTGGAGAGGATTTAGATAAAGTTTTGAACAACTAGTAGATTTATACTAAAACAATTAGATTATTCGGTCTTGATTTCTATGTGGGATAGTTGACTCAGGCTGCACCCTCGTCAACTATCACATGATAGAAATCTCAAGCTCATAATCTAATTGTTAAATAGAAACACTCGTGAAAGTTTGGGAGAACTTGAAAAAGCAATGGAAACGCTCGCCTAACGGCTCGTGTTCCCACAACATTTCTCGTTCTCCCAAACTTCCACTCGTGTTTCTATTAAACAATTAGGTTATCAGAGCTCAAACCACACCCAGGTTGGTCTCCTTTAGGGGTTTAATTCAAATTTTCCTACGAGCATCCCCGTCCTTTTCCTTTTGGTTTCCCCCTCCGCCCCTGGATGAACGCACACCTGACTGCAGTAGATACATTATCATAATTATATTTTGGCAGTCAAAGATCACCTGATTGTGCACAATTTCTTTTGCTTGAAGCATGTGTTTTAGTTTTCCTGGAAGTACGGGGTTTTGTCTAAGTTCGGGTTCTGGGTTTAGTAATCCAGCATTAGGGTTTCCTATGTGTTTCTAGATTTAGTAATTTTGTTTTCCCAGTTTTATTTATCAGGCATTTAGGATTTCGTGTGTTCCGGGTTTTAGTATTTCGGGTTTAAAGAATTCCGACGTTCCGGTTTTAAGTATTTTGGTGTTTCGGCATTCTGGTGTTCCAGCGTTCAAGCGTTCCAGGTTTCAGCCCAAACTGCTATGCTACTCACTATCTATCACGGAATCGATAGTGAGTAGCATAGCCAATCAGAAGTTCACGCTCACAGTCTCGCTAAACTTCAAATGTTTGATGACCAACCATGCCACGTTTGTCACTCAGTGTGAGCATGTTTCGGTGTCACAGGTTCACGCTTAGATGCAAGGGACAGTAGATCCCTCATGGGCCTTCCTGGGCTTACTCCTGCACAATATGGGGCCTACAGCCAGCAGGGGCCGATACCTCTGTACTTCTGGCATGTGGCCACACCCCATGTCATTTAAGACATGAGGGTGCTCAATTCTTTTTACGCTCGTTGGCTTGCTTTGCTCACCAAATTTTTTCCTGCCTTCTCTTGCAGCCTGCTCACAGGCTATGTTGAAGGGTCAAACATGACATCAAACAATATGTCATCGATATAATCTCAGTGAAACTATTGTAATTTTACACGAGTTAAATTACAGCTTTTCTAAAGGCTGGAAATCTTCAACCCCCCACCACAGTTTATGTAATAAAGGATTTTTCTTTTCCTACCTATTCCCAGAGATACCTCTGGTATCCAGCATGTAGAATTCAGACTGACAGACGGGAGCTATAGAAGGGTAAGTGCATTTGTGATTCATCTCCGGGACTGCACTGCAGTGGTAACAAAGTGCTGCCACACAGGCAGCCCTTTGCCCTATAGACTCACATTTAATGCAGCTTTATAATGTTGTTACCATTATAGTAGCTGTGCAAAACTCCTCGTACAGGGGTTTCATTAATATATTCAGTAGGAGGGCAACTGGTTTTCATGGTCAAAACTATTTGAACTGAACTTGTTATAAGAAAAACTTTCCTCTCAATGGTCAAACTAGGCAGGCAAAATCATCCCCACAACCAGTCAATTTGCCTGGTACCCGGACCTTGATGAAAACCCTGCTCATAGGATAACAACCTCTCTGCAGGGAATCCTGACCTCTTGGAGAGGATCAGAGTACTATATGACATCGGGGGTGTGAGCATGGGTACTGTGGCAGGAGGAACAGGAACCCCTTAGAGGGATATTGTCCCAGGGGGACTTCCGTTTCAAAAGGACGAGGTTGCTTGTCGGAAATTTTGAAAAGAACCGCTAACGGGCACCAAGGTCCGAGGCCTGTTTTGTGGGCTTGAATTTGTTCAACTCTAAGAGGTTCCAATTCTAAAACAACAGCTTAACTGACACTTTCATAATTTTTAATAGAGGTAAAGACAATTGTAAATGAGACAAAATTAAAAATTAGTTGATTCTCAAATATGTCCTAACATATTTTTTTTTCGGCTCAATACCCTAAAGGGTACAGCAAAATCTCCTGCATGCTGTGCACCCTTTGAGAATGAACACCTTAAGAGGTACCAAAAATACTTTTTTAACCCCTAAAAGGTACGCGCACACCCCCATTGTTTTTATTTTGGAGTTTCCCCTCCCCTCCCCTGGGGGAATTACATGTAGGACCTGCCAGAGGGGGCTAGGAGATTTTGTCCAGCTTCTCTCTAAAGAAAGACTGTAACCTTCCAGACGGAGCCATGTATGTACACTGTACAGCAGCTGTGTCAGTTTGTAATCCTGACCTGTATGAGCTGTGAGTAGTCATACTCATTGCATAGTAGTCACACAAACTATTGATCTACATAGGTATACAAATTATATTTCTTAATTACAATTTAAGAAATTAATTTTGCCAAAATTGCATGTGAGAGTAGCTGGTAAATGTCAGAAGTAGATGAGTTTTAATAATAATAATTATAGTTTATCCTTTTAACAAGAGAAGAGTCTTCCTCGCCAGCTTTCTTTATTAAAACACAATTTTGAATTTTCGTTGTACTGTGATTCTCAGAATAAATAATTTACAATTTGCTTGAGGGATTGGTTTAGATATCACAGTGCCATTCACCCCAGTGTGAATTTAATTTTTATTCGTTTTCAACTGTTCCTTCAAAACTTCGATCGGAGAAACGAGAAAACGTTGCCAGTTTTTGACCACATGAAGCCATTGCCCACTAATTAACAATTTCTAGAATTCTTCTAGCATACTAATGCAAATACTGCAATCTGATTGGCTGAGCTACAACAACAACAACAGCAACAACACTGAACAACAACAACTTTGTTAAAATGTCTCTAAGTAAAATTGCTGAGGGTGAAGCCCTCTACTAATTGGGGACACCTAATAGTTAAGATTAAAGAACTATTTTGCTTGTATGGCCGGTACTTGCACATTATCAGCTCGATATTTCTGTCGTGTGATAGTTAACAAGGGCACAGCGCGAGTCAACTACCAAGCATAGAAATAGAGAGCGAATGTTCTAATTGTTTTTAAATTAGTATATAGCAACTTGTCACTTTAAACTTTATCCTCTTCACAGACACTTTGAAAACGCAAAGAAACGTTTACTTGACAACCGCTCACTGTTGGGCTACTCACTATGTACTACAGAATAGATAGTGAGTAGCGTGACCAATACGAACGGCATATGTAATAGAACGCTAATAGATTTATACTAATGGGTGAAAGTGTGCGATGGCTCAGCCAATCAGATTGCAGCATTTGCATTAGTATACGAGTAGAATTCTGCTAAAGGTAGACATTAATTTATCATTGTTTTGATCCAAAATGCAGACAAATAATCACGGTTATTGATGGAGGCCCTCCTCTGTTCAAGTAATGAAACTACTTACTGATCCTAGATTAAAGAATTCAATAAAACTCCTGGAAAACAAGCTTTCCTGCCTGGCTCAAGCAATCCTCTTGACCAGTTGAATATCACTTTTTAAACAGGTATTTCAGCCAAGCTCGACAACCAAGATGTATCGATTACCCAAGGGTTATATTTTCTTTGTATGCTGCGTTTTATTGGTCACTTACCTGGTATTACGTCTCGAGACAAGAGTATGCAGATGCCGCAGGTCCGGAATATTTTATAGAAAACTCAAATGTTACGCACAAATCAAAAAAAGACCCTACGCCTTAGGTAAGCGTTTTCTGGTCAACTATTTTTGGAGAACAGCAAAATATCCATCAAGTCTGGAAGAAAGGTGAATGCAGGTGGCTTGCGAAGTTACAAGTGACCGTTCGCGAGCAGCCGAAGCAAACGGCGTCGTTGTGCACGCTAGGGATGGCGACATAAGCCCGCCAAACCACGCTGCAGCATGGATCTTGTGGACACAGGAAAACCCAGTGTACACACCTGTGCTAAGCAACCCTAACTTTATGTTCAGGTAGAACTTGCTGAGAATTTATCGCTTAGATTCGGATTTTCCAAATCCTGTTTTTTCTATGCCTGCATTGACAGCGCCACCTCCTTTCAAAGAACAAACAGGGATTGTTATGGCTGCTTTCTCAAGTTGTGAACCTGTGCGTATTGCATATATGAAATAATTGATGCAGTATATGGAGGTCGATTCTTACGGAGGTTGTCTTAGAAACAAAAACGATTCAGTTCGCAGGTATGGCTCTGGAAACGGCAAAGACTTCAAGCAACTCAGAACAGAACTGGCTAGAAAGTGCAAGTTTAGCCTGGTGTTTTTTAATCAAGACTGCGACTATTTTGTTTACGATCAACTGTTGCATGCGCTGAATGCAGGCTCGGTTCCCGTGGTGATGGTCACAGACAAACTCGATGAGTTCCTGCCCGGCAATCTGCGACACGCCGTCATAGAAGTACGCGATTTTAAATGTCCAAAACTTCTTGCTGAGCACGTAAAATATCTTATCCATAACGAGACTGAATACAACAAATATTTGGAGTGGAAGCAGGCAGGAATTGGTAACATTACAGTTATTACTATTATTATTACAGGTAACATAACTGTTATTGGAAACTACTGGCAGCCAAAGTATCCAATTTATTGCCGAATGTGTGTTGCACTTTCGAAGGGTCGAGTACACAAAGATGGTCTCCCAAAAGACAACTGTCAAGCAAGGAAGGCTGCAAGCTGGGGACTAGCATAGTGATGATAGCTGGATTCTGACCGCTAGCGTGCTTGTTACAAAGTACAGTATAACATTAGTGCGGAAATTCGGCACGAAATTTCGCCATTTTCGTCAAGAGTAATTTTCTCACGTTCACGTTCGCGTTGACGTTCATGTTTCTTCCGTGTTTCAGTTCAATGTTCCAGCAATGCTTGAATGTTTTGTTACTTCTTCCCATTATTCGATGGACTGGCCAATCAAAACTGGTAAAATTTCTGCGACATCAAGATGGCCTGCAGAACAAGCCGTTTGGAGACAGGGCGTGCGTGATTCTACGCGCTCGTCTTGACGCTATCGCGCTCTGTGGGTAGTGCTTCGCGCCCCCGTATCAAGAGAACATTTGTGTGTTCAGCAAGATCATTCAAAAGTCGGACGCGTTTGTTTACTTCACTTCATTATATTCACTTCACTTCGTTATTTGCGCACGTTGTCCATTTCACATAATTGTTCTCTTCTACGGAGCCGCGCAAATTACCAAGAAAAGTATGATAAAGAGAGACATATTTAATATTTAAGACTGAAATTGGAAAAATTTTCCACGTAAAGTCTAAATGTACTTGCGTTCTATCACGAATTCCGTTATCTGATTGGCTACGCTACTCACTATCTATTCTGTCGTAGATTAGTGAGTAGCGTAGCAGTGTGCATTTGTTAATAAAATGGCGGACGCTTTGCGTTTTCGAAGTGTCTGTAAGAAGATTTGATAGAGTAAACGACTAGTAGATTTGTACTAAAATAATTAGATTATTTCACTCTATTTCTATGCGTGATATTTAAGTTTAAACATTTCTTAATGCTTATTTTATTTGGTTGTTTTGGCAAATTAGTACTTTTCAATTTTTAGGCTTTTATCAAATTAAATTAATCGATTTGTTTGAGTTCTTTTTGATCTTAATAATTTAAAGGTCAAATAAAGATCTCTCTAAACAAGTTATTCGCTGAATTGCTACTGATTCACAACTCACAACACAGGCGGATCCATGGGAGGCATGGAGGGGGCTACACCAACCCCATCCCCCACCCCCCGGCCCTTTGAGTAGCATTTTTATCATTATTTCTTCGACTTTTCATAAAAATAATCGAATAAAATTGTTTTATACCTATATCCGAACTTTCGGTCTCCACTACCTCTCGTAAGCGAGCACCTCTCCTCAGCGATCAGTTTTCCAAAATACGAAAAGTTTCCAAGTCAAATCCCTATGTTTGGAACCTCTTGTAAGCGACCAACTCTCGTAAGCAACCACGACCACTTTTAGAGCTAAAAGCTTGAAATTTTCTATTGTTTTTAACCTCTCGTAAGCGAACATTTGACAGATAATAGAGCAGAAATTGTATTATAAGGTGTTGGGGTAAGTCTCTGAAGTCACCATATGATAATGATACACAATTTTGACCCAGTATGATTCAGGGCCTCTTCATATGAGCCTGGTAACCGGGCTGGCTCGGTTACCGGGACGAATTTTGTTGTCTGTTCATATGGGAAATTTAAGCCCGGTCGGCCGGGATGAAATCCAAGAAACGCAACGAAAATGGTGAGCCATAAACTTGTATCGTTCGCGGCTGTCGTAGCTTTATGGACTCTTGTAACTTTACTAATAAAGCTAATTCGCATACTCCTAATGTGGAAAAACATACGAGACAAAAAGTTATGCCATTTTGGCCGCTATGTTGCGAAAGCGAAACTATTTTGTCGAAAAAGTTTCGTTCCGGTTACCCGGGCTAGAGCGTTCACATGGAAAAATTTTCATCCCGGTTACCAAGATCTCGGTCGCAAAAACCGAGATCTCGGTAACCGGGCCAGCCCGGCTTCTCATATGAACACATCGAAATTTTTACGGAGGAAAGAGTAGCGAGGCGAGATCTCGGAAACCGAGCCAGCCCGGTTAACCGGGCTGATATGAAGAGACCCTTAGGCTCTCGTAAGCGACCATTAGGGCTTGACATTTTAGGTGGTCGCTTACGGGAGGTTTGACTCTAGTTGTTTCACTTCAACCAACTGACTGATTGTCAGGTTAGGAGAAGATAAAGTGCACTTTACAGCTGCATTATTATTGTCGGTTTTCTGGTTGAGAAGTAAGGTAAACTCCAGATTTTATATGAAGCCTTCACAAACGCTTTTCAAGTGTCAGTAACGCTGGATGACCTGGAGCCCCCTAGAAGGTCACACTTGTGGCGCTCGCCATCCACACCAATAGCGTCCAAAGTTATTTCTGTTTACACCCTCCCCCCTCCCCGCCCCTTTCAGAAATTCCTGGATCCACCCCGTACAAGTAGCTGGAATGTCCAGGCCTTCATTGGAAGACTATCCAGGTTTGTTTAGTTTTTATCAAGGTGCATGACGATACTTTACAGCACTCTGTCGCTTATCATCTGATGGATTAGTACCAATCTTTATCAGTTTATGCTACAATAATGGTCTCGAACGATTAGCCAACCATTTGAGACAGAATTGAATGCTTTTGATTTTTAATCATATGGATCATTAGTTTGTAACAAAAAATGCAAAAATTAGTCACAAAATCTTCATGTTTCCGGGCAGCAGATCGCGCAGAGAGATGCTTATTAAGGCCGCGTATGGTAAAATACGCCAGCGAAAAGAATATTTATCTCGGAGTCACCGATACACCTTGCACGTTATATTTACTCTTGCAGAAAACTTAAACAACCATTACCATGCTTATCTATTAATATTTTCTAGGTAGGTCAAGTTTGCATACGAGCCAAGTGGCCCATCAGACTGCCGGGAGCTTATCTCGGTTTCTGTAGCATGAAGCGACTAGGAGTATTTCTGCTCCCCCCTGAATAGGATGCTAGTCCATTTTAAAAAACTCTGTACATAGGGTTCAGAGCCGCCTTAAAGTTTTGAAAATTTAAGGTGGCTCTGAACCCTATGAACAGAATTTTTTTAAACTGCCATAAGTTGCGTCTATCATGCTTATTAAAATTTGAAAATAGAAGAAAATTTGACCGTACCGTTTTTTGAATCATAAGCCCCTATACAGCTAAAGCCGTAATTAAGGGTTGTTTTAGCGTATTGTTGCTATGGTAACCCATTGTGTAAACCTATCAACCCATTGTGTCAAGTGATAACAACGTGTTCAATGATTCAATTATTGGGCCGTTTGTTGATACCGTGATGGCAGCATCAAGTGATAAAGAGCGGTTAATAATGACCCATCAGAATCGAAGCGCTGGAAACTGTTTTGAGCCACTTTAAGTTCGCCGGTACTCATTTATACACCTGGGTGGAGAGAACTGTGAGAGTAAAGTGTCTTGCCCAAGAACACAACAAAATGACCCCGGCTAGGGCTCGACCCAGACCACTTGATCCTAAGAGGAACGCACTAACCATGAGGCCTTGCGGCTACCGAGACCAGATACGACCAGCCATAGCAATGCATTACAGTTGGATCCCGCAGATTCGAACTCGCGGTTATTCAGCGAACTCAAAACCATTTCCCTCGGATTTGTTCTTCAGTTATTTACTATCGGCTATTTTGAACTCCCGCTATTTCGAACTATTTTTCGTTTTCCCTGGGAGTTCGAAATAGTGAGGTTCAACTATTTAAGGCCTAAAAGGAGCCAAGAGGCCAAATCAGACAAATCTGTATCGTGCATTATGTACCGGCCGAGGGAATATCTAAACACAAAGTTCTCGAATAATGTATTTAGGGATTAGGGCGTCTTTGTGGTGCACGTAACACTTACTAGCTAAAATCAAAGTTCCGTCCTTTCCCATCCTCGGAGACGCAGGGGCTACTAGCCGGGACGATGCGATATCTTCGGGCGAGCGATATTTTCGGGGGAAAAGTTTACTTCAAGCTCTTCAGCTCTTGAAGTAAACTTTCGCGCCGAAAATATCGCATCGTCCCGGCTAGTAGCCCCTGGGTCTCCCAGGATGGTCCTTTCCATTCCTTG